TTAAACCCTCAATTAGTCTGGTTAATATATTTAAACACTAATGCAGTAATCTAGGAGATTGACTTGTCTTGCGGACACCAAACATGGAAACAAAGGATTATGTTTATCCTTTCAGTGATATGTCATGTAGGGTTTTAATTATAATATATAATTTGTAGGTAATTACATCCATTAAATAATGGCATTCTTAATGTTAAAAGGCACATATTTATTTTGGTGGAACAAGTGTTGTGACGGAAACGTGTCCCAATTTTGAGTCCTAATGACTGCATAAACTCAAGTTCAACTAATTCAAATACCGGGTTGTAACCATGAGTTCAAATAATCAGGACCCTTATTACCAAATTAATGCTTTCTTACATATTTATCATTGACACTTCAGATCATGGATAATTTTTTGTGTCCTTCTAGAACAATAATTGATCAATGCAGGAAAGGTAAAACCTGTAAGGCAAGCAAACAGGCAAGTGGTTTGAACTCTTTTTTTTTTTTTTTGGGGAGGGGGGGCAGATTTCTATAATATCGAATATATTTATATTTGACCAAACAGTTCATCGTTAGATAGAAGTGGATGAAGCAAATACCAGAATTTCAACAACTTTGAAATGGGTTTTCTCATAGTGTTCACCCCTGACTCTACCTGCTATATCTGAAAAAGCAACATGCATGGTTTCTCTGCTTTCATATGTCTTTAAAATGTGTTTTTGGTTCTCATTGCACATCCCCTATTCTCAGATTTAATAAAATGTCTATGTACTAAAAGATGTGTGGTCCAACTAAGTGTTTCAATTATACCAGTTAACAAGAACTACATAAGAACTCGAAATAACAAAAATTCAAAATTTAGGAACATAATTTGGGGACAAAATAATCGTAGCTATTAGATTATCAGTAGTTTTCAGTATTAAATACATTTTATTATCAATCTAATGATCAAAATACATTATCTTTTAATTATGTCTTAATAACATTGATAATAACATTAGTTTTAATTAATTAATACAATAATAAATGGTTGGATAAGTATTACACACGAATAACTTGTTTAGTACAACATGTAAGTAGACAATGAATGATTTTTCTCATTTATTATTTTTTAATATTATATAGTATACAACGACATGAACAAGATACAAACTTAAATCAATAAAACTTGAACACGATCCCAATCAAAATTACACGATACAAAAACAATTAACTAACAGCCTAATGATTTAATGGCCAAAACGGGGCCAGGTGTACCAGTGGTGACAGGTGAGGGTGATTCACTGTTTCTGTTAAATTTCATGTGCAAGGAAGGGGGGGAGGAGAGAGCTGTGTTGACTTGTTGTCACACAGGAGGACACTTGTCAATAGTTTTACGTGGCTGGATTTGAATGACCTCAGTGGGTCCCAACATGCAAAGTTGGCGTCTAAAACTGTAACACGTGGTAAAGGGCGTGCCATACCATCAGCTTACTATAAACAAGTGAAAAGTAGGCTGGCTGTAGTCATGGAAGCAGCACTCCCAATTGTGTCAAGTGAGATGGCTTACCTCGAATTTTAGTGATTTTGTGTTAAAAAATATTTTATGTATATTTGATTTATTTATTAATTTGTGTCTATTAAATCATATTATATAGAGTTTGCATCATATATGGATCATATATAATCGATATATAAATAAGTCGTGTTATGTATTTGTTTTGATCGATTTTATCTGCGGCCGATTTGTATATTAATCATGTCGTATCAGATCCACTCGTTTACGAAATGTGTGGTTTAAAGAAGATTCAAATCTTCTAATTTCATGTCGTGTTATCGAATCATGTCATATTTTGATGCATCTAAAAAAAACACATGTCCGATATATCAATAGTTTCGATTTTTTATCTAAACAACATTATTCTTATGAGAAAAGTTTTGTTCCAAAAATAATTCTTCTAATTAATAACTAAAATTATGACTCAAAAAAGTTAATTTAATATGTTAAATGAACCAATTAGGATTGATCTTTAGCCTTAACATTCATCACTATATTTCAAAATTGACCATAACTTTTTTAAAACCCAAATGTATAGTAAATTACATTCATTTGAATAGAAACTTGAAATTTTCTATTTTATCCGACCCTATTTGAACGGCTAGCCGAAAAAATCGGGTAGGACTACGGAAAAATTTTTGGTCTTCCGATTAAATCCGGTATGAATGCATTATTGCCATTAATTTCTGTATTCTTACCCTACCCTATCCTACCCTACCTGCATACATATATATATTGTAATTGTTGTTGTAATTGTTTTAGGTTTTAGTGTTATTAGTTTATTGTATTGTTAAATTGATGCATGTTATTTAATTAAATTGTTAAAATTATCCAAAAATTAATAATTATAAAAATATTCACCCGACTTCCTCCCCGATTAATTTGGCGAAGAAGTCGAGTAGGAATTCCACACTTGATTGTGTAAGGTAGGTTAAGAAAAAATTCTTCCGCAAAGTATCGGATAAGAAGACGAAGACCATATTTTTTACCCGTAGAGTAGGGTGAACACCCCTAGCATAAACGTAGTATTTGCATTGCATACCTTAGTTTTTTTGCTGAAGTTAGTTTTTGCTATTGAATTCAATAGGTCTACTTGTATCTAGAAATTTACCTCTTATATACATTGCCCATCCTTGTCAGTAAATAACAATTTCAAAATAAAAAATCACCACTGATCGATATAAATATTATATGTAATGCTAACCCAAACATTACAAGAACTATCAGGTGGCTCTTTTGGATGCTTGAACACTTATCAATGCTTCATGAACTTAGATTCTGTCAAGTGATGCTCTTTCGAACTTGGATTCAATTGGAAGTATTGGCTCAAGATTTATACTTTTTTTGAATTTTTATCTGGTAGAATCTCTTCTTGTTTATGTTGTATACATTTTGTTATACTAGTCTGAGCTTAATGTATTTTATCAAAAGCTCTACCTCACATGTACATCCTATGGTTAATATACATACAATTTTTGCTTTTGAAAAAAATATTTTTCACAGTTTATGGACTTGTATAGCCTCATTCAAAGAGAAAGGTAATGACAACAATCAGATGATTTTGTTGCATTTAATCTGCGAAAGATTGTCTCGAAATTGGGATTCAAAACTTATAATGTGGACATTGTGAGGTGTAGTTGGACACTCTCATGCTGATGAAAGATTTTTTTTTTTTTGGGTTCAACGATCAGAAGTACTCAAATTAACTTACGCGCATTTCGATTAATTATCTCTCTGATCTAATCAAAAGCATGTCATTTACATCGGAATTAAGATATTNAGTCGACTTTAGGTCTCATATGTGGACATGTGTTGAGGTATACTTGAACCCTGTGTCATGCTGATGGAAGAAACGAAATCAAGAAAGTTATGTGAGAGGTCTCAACAAAGAAAGAAAGAAATTCAAAAAGTGTTTTTGAAAGACAGAAGGAAAGAATACGAAGAAAAGAAGCATTTCCTCATAATTGGTGAGAGATGTAACAACCTTACCAGCCAATCAGTCTCTTCAAGGAGACTTTATGTAGAGTCAAACCCATTAGTTAGTTGACATTTGTCATTGCCTTTTAATCATATTTACCTTGACGTAGTTCTCTTTTTGGGATTTGAGGATGGCACCGAAATTCAAAATTTTGGTATCATAACCAAATTTATCATATTTATAGTAACTTTTATCATATTTGTGTGTATTTTTATTATTGTTATGGTACTAAAAAAAATAGTAAAAATAGTTCACAACAGTGATAAAAATATTCACAAATATAATAAAAATACTTATAAATGTGATAAATCACCTACAAAAATAATAATTTCTTTTTTGTACTTAAGAAAAATGATAAAAATAATTTGATAAAAACCCCTATAACAATGATAAAAATACCCACAAAATAATAAATCAATCACAAAAGTGGTACATGTTTTGGTTGTAAAATGACCGACAAAGTTGTAGAAACACCTTCTGAAGTAATAAATTTAAAAGTATGGTACTGAACTTTTTTTGACGATACCCTAGTGAAGTCCCTCTTTTTGAGTTATACAAGTAGACAAAAAAAGCAAATCAATTCTATTTGATTTTAATCTGCTGTTTGATTTATTAATTTAATTAATTATTGTCATTAGAATGAAAATAAATTTCAATATTAGTTGCTATTCGCTACTAATCAAAAGTTAGTGATTAAAATTAGGTCAATAAAATTATATTTAAATAGTATTATTAGAAAAAATAACCTCATCCATGTCCCAAAAGAATAATGTTATTAAAACTCATACATCTGATTTAATTTGTTGATCAAATATGTACCAATTGACATAGTTTAACAACATTATTAACAATAACTCTTAAAAAAAAGTCCAAGCATTACATTTATAACAACATTATTGAATCACGTCACTATCATATCATTAAGTTAACAAACTAGATCAATATTTTAGATCCCAATAACATTCCTCAACTCTTAAACCACTTCCTTGAGAAATGATGGTTCACAAACTATCCAAAAATTTTAGATCTCAATGATGATTCACAAACTATGCAAGAACTTTAGATCTCAAAAGTTTTACTCAAAAAAAAAAATGGAGAGAGAGAGAGAGAGATGGGATGACGCAGCATGAGGGCGGCGCCAAATACTATTGACTTACAATCTATTTGCAACATTTCCTTCTCATCTATATATGGGGGACATTTTGCCCATTTAGACACCCAACTTTTATTTCTGCTGCAGAAGTTAACTTTCTATCTTTCGTAGCATTCTTGTGTTCCTACTTCCTATACAAACTTCCATTTCACCTAAACTAAACTACCCAAATGGGAAGATCACCTTGTTGTGATAAGAATGGACTTAAAAAAGGTCCATGGACCTCAGAAGAGGATCTTAAGCTCATTCAATACATTCAGATGCATGNACCTTGTTGTGATAAGAATGGACTTAAAAAAGGTCCATGGACCTCAGAAGAGGATCTTAAGCTCATTCAATACATTCAGATGCATGGACCAGGCAACTGGAGAACCCTTCCAAAGAATGCAGGTACTTAATTTTTTACATGATTCTACATTCATTTATCTGTAGCTTCTATNTGGACCAGGCAACTGGAGAACCCTTCCAAAGAATGCAGGTACTTAATTTTTTACATTAGTCTACATTCATTTATCTGTAGCTTCTCTGATAAATTATATATAACTCTATGTTTTTTGTTCATGTTGGATGCTAAATTTTATAGGGTTACAAAGATGTGGAAAGAGTTGTCGTCTTCGTTGGACAAACTACTTGAGGCCTGATATCAAGCGAGGCAGATTTTCCTTTGAAGAAGAAGAGGCTGTAATCCAATTACACAGTGTTCTGGGGAACAAGTAAGATTATTATTCTTTTTAGGGCTTCAAAGATGATGTTGCACAAAAGAGAATCACTTATATTTTTGATCTATAAGGCTATATCAGTTCCAATCTTCATGAAATCTAAAATAAATGTACCTTTTCATTTTGTTTCATCTCAGATGGTCAGCCATCGCAGCTCGTTTGCCCGGAAGAACAGACAATGAAATCAAGAACTATTGGAACACCCATATTAGAAAAAGGCTACTCCGAATGGGTATTGATCCGGTGACTCATAGTCCTCGTCTTGATCGTCTAGACCTTTCATCTTTACTCGGCTCAACTCAGCTTAATCTTTCAAATTTACTCNAAAAGGCTACTCCGAATGGGTATTGATCCGGTGACTCATAGTCCTCGTCTTGATCTTCTAGACCTTTCATCTTTACTCGGCTCAACTCAGCTTAATCTTTCAAACTTACTCGGGCTTCAAGCACTTGTAAACCCAGACCTGATGAGGCTTACAGCTCTTCTAGCATCAAGCCATGAAAACCCTGATTTGATATTGCAGAAACTTCAAGAAAACCAAATCTGCAATACCCAATTGCAAAACCAAAGCCAAATGTTACAACCCAATCAATTTCAAGCTCTTTCCCATGAAGTTCCTACTTGCAACCCTTCTAGTAGTGTTGCTAACTCATCATTTCTAAATCAAACACTAATGATGCAAGGGAACATGGGGCAATTTTCGGAGAACACAGTGAACTTGAGTTGCGAAAATTTCCAAGAAAATTTGGCATCTTCAGATTTTACTGGAAATTTTGTTACCCTACCAAATTACTTCTATTCCGAGACTGATCAAATCCTGAAAGATGCATCAGAAAACTCAACTTTCCAAACGTTGAACAATAGCAGCAGCAGCAACAGTAGCCAGAATTTCAGCTTTGAATCAGTTATATCGACGCCATTGTCAAGCCCAACGCCCTTGAATTCGTCATCCAAATTCATCAACAATGCCATTGAAGATGAAAGGGAAAGCTACTGCAGCAACTTGATGAAGTTTGAAATCCCCGAAAGTTTAGACTTTGATGATTTTATGTGAATACTGTGTAGATCTTTGTGATCATTGATGTGGAACTATGCTTTCTTTTTTCTGGTTTCTGGTTCTTCCGGATTTTGTTGTTAGGGTGTTGTTAGCTGCATTATTTTGTAGTTTTATAAAACCTCTGTATAAATAAAACAGTATCCTATGTTCTTCAGATGTAGTTGCAGCTGCACATCAAAATTCCCTTTTCTCTTCTTTTTTCTTCATTATAAGAACAATAACGAATTATAATTAGCCACTGATTTCAGATTGCCAAGCTATTTAGAAAGAACTCATGAAGCTTGATCTTTTCAGATATAATGATCACCATTAATGTTCAAGCTTCTACTAAACTGGTTATAAATATGAAAAAAATGTGGTTCTTTGTATATATCCATAGGAAAACTGTTTTAATTAATAAGATTTTTTTTTTTCGAAATTAAAGGTAGCTTTTCATTTATGTGAGAAACTGTAGTGTACATCTTTAGAAAAACAAAACATAAGGGAATTTAATTGAAACAACCAGGGAATTTAATGTGAACTTTATAGTCTGCAACTTCCAAAATGAGAAGCTAGAAACTGTGGTCAATGCAATGTATGTGCAAATATCTACCATAGTAATTATTGATAATTACCTGAAAAAATGAATGAATAATTTTTTCTTTATTTCAAAAGTGGAGAGAGAGAGAGAGAGAGAGAGAGAGAGAGAGGTAGTTAAGATGGATGGTTGTGTATCAAAGTTTTTTTTTTTGAGAAAAAGATGAAGCAAGAAATAAAAATCTCAAGGTGTAAAGTGGAAAGGGGAAGATACCAAAATGGGGATAAAAAAACCTCGGTTGGGTTAATATTAAGTAATACTACATACACAAAAAAAATGAGACTAAAAAGGGACTAATGATGTGATGGGCATTAGGGATTCAAGTTACAAATGTTCTGACCAAAAAAAAAAAAAGTTACAAATGTTTTTTAGAATAAAGTTAGTTTGCAACCCGTGAAAACATGAAAGAAAAAAGGGGGCTCGTCTGCTGTTTTAACTTTGGTTGTCGTGCAAACTAATGAATACTTGTGTTTTTCCCTAGTAATGTTGGATATTGTCGTGTTTGATATGGCCGGTTCTAACATTTGAGTTATACGATTTTCAAAACCAACAAGCGCTCAATTATAACACACAAAAAAACNTGAAATCACCCCACCACTACCTCTACCCCCCACTCGCACCACCACCACCACCATCGTCGTCGTCACTGTCGCCGCCACCACCATTGCCACCCACCACAACTATCACTGTTTCCTACCACTACCATTGACGCTCACCACCTCTCACCCCACTACAAATTGATACTTAAATTTTTTTATTTTTTTTTATATTTGTGATTTGATTTTGAATATAAATCATAAATATGTTTTTTGTTTACCATTTNCAAAAAACAAAATTAAAAGGTCATTCACCGACAATCTATTGGTGTCATGATAGATTCGTGTTGAGTCATAAAATTATGAGTTTTTTATATTTTTTTTTCGCGTGTTAGGTCATTTTCAAATTCGTATTGAGTTCGAATCGTATTATCGTGTTGAATCAAAAATTTTCACCCTTAGTTACAATAATTTTTTTTTAATTTAAATTTTTTATTATTTTATTTTATTTTTATTTTATTTTTTAAAATTTTTAATTTTTTTTATTTTATATATATATATATATATATATATATATATATATATATATATATATATNCAAATAAGATACATCTTAACACAAATAATTAACTTTTTATTCACTTTTTTTTTTATTTTAGTGAGTTGAAAAAAAAATTAATTCATCTATTTTTTTATTTCTTTATTTTTTTATTATATCAAACGAAGCATTACTGTTTTAAGATGGACAATACTTATTTCCAAGAGACCTCTACTTGACGTAAAGAAGCACAATTTCTCATCAACCCCAAAGTCTACCAATGTAAAGTCCTACTCTAAACATCACAGCTCAAAAGTGTAATCTTGTCTTGGCATGAACTTTTTCCAAATAGTCATCATTTTTTAGGAGAAGAAGAGAGGAGAAATACGTTAGTTGCTCCTGTGAATTCAATGGGAATCAAACCTGTTCTCACATAATTGGGTGACAAAGACGATTTTGTTGACTCACTTGTATATGTGTATTTTGTTCTACATGTTCTTACATTTATTAAAACACCGACGCTAGTCGGTCTAAAAGTTTATTTTAAATCTCTAATCCAAATGATGTGAAAGTTTTTTAGTCTCATTTAATAAGAAAGTCCGAACTATTCCGTATTAAGTATTTAACTTTTGTCACATTACTTAAAATTATTTGTCGTCATGCTTATTAAAAATGCTATGCATATCAAATTTATATTCTAAATTTTGTTCTAATGATGTTAAATAAATCCGGTGACACCTAGCTTGAAAAGAAAAAATTTGAGACAAAAATTTGGGATGCATAGAGATTTTGTAAAATCTATATATATATATATATATATATATATGTAACAGTGATAAAGATTGATCTAATATTTATCATTTTCTTTACCTGACCTCCAATGTCAGACGATTCAAACAATACTCTCTAATGTCAAACAACACCATTAGTCCACACATACCTCTATTTTTTTTCTCTCTTACCTTTTTTTTTATATAGAAATTTCGCAATTAAACAAAATAACAAATTATTATTTAAAAAATATATATATTTATATTTATATTTTTTTTGGTGTTTTGGGTGGGGGGGTTCAGACATCATCGGAGTTGACGCATGTGGATTTTGTGATGTTGTAAATTGCGGGTCCAAGACGATTCCACGTAAAGTGCATATCTTATCAAAGACTACAAATTTTATTTCACTGAAAATTTTCTATCTCATAATAAAGGGTTGGCTGTTGAACTTTGTCGTCTTAGACAATGCTTTCCTCATACGTCAGGATCCATTGTAAGGTAATGCTATAAGCATCAAATGATATATCGATGATACCATTAGTAAAATTTAAATTTAAATTTAAATGAATAAAAGTGGAATTAAAAGTACTATTATGTTAGTGCTACATCATTTGGACCGTGTTTTTTTTTTTGTTGGTCTAACATTACTCTCCTTTGTGATATTAGATTTTTGGGTGGATGATAGTTTGCACATTCTCAAAATTTTAATTTATATTATGAAATATTAAAATTCTCACATTACACCTTTAATTAAATAAAAATGTAGCAATGTAGTCCAAAACTAAATTTTTATTACCTTTTTTGATAATTTTTTTGTTTTATTTGTCCAATTATCATATTTTTATGCACACTTGTTTACATAATACTCAATTTGAAGTATTTACAATAAAAATTTGGTACTCAATTTTCTTAAAATGGATCACATTGATACTTTTTAATTTGATTTAGGGTGCAGTCTGAAAATTTCAATCATTTCAGGGTCTAAATTGAGAATGCAAATATTTTTTTGGGGTACAATGTGTCATTTGTCCATTCTTATATTTTCTAAATTTGTTCGTATACCTTCCTTATCAAGGCCCAATGGCTCATTGTACTGGACTTTGAGTTTTCATGCAGGCCCAAAATCTCCCTGTAAAATGAATCAAGATATGTTGTCATGGGTTTGAGTTTTCGTGGGCTCGAGCTCAACCCATGGTAGGCTCGGACGAGTTAATCAAGATGTGTTGTTTTTTGAAGCTTGCTAATTAATGAGCTCATGGACTAGAAAGGCTTCAGGAGGCAGCATTAAGAGGGTCTAGTTAAATGAAAAAAAGGCAGCTTCTGCATCTAAACATTTTGATGTGAAGACACATGATTATGACACCATGTTGATAGTGTTTTTACCACCCAAAAATATTTTTTTCAGCAAAACGGTCGGGCAGGCTTCGACTGTGTCTCCGCTCGAACTCTTTTAGCTCGACCTCGAGTAAGTGCAATGTATATTATACTTGCTCGCGTAAGTCATTGTTTATTACACCAATATTTTCGAAGGACAAGACACACCAGTGTGTGCATGTCATCACAAATCAAACCAGTGATAATCATTTGATTCAAGGTGATTTGATTGTATCAATAAGAAGCAAATAGTTATATAACTGAGAATGTCAATGGTATGCTTAATGCCAAGTTGAAAAACTTACATCTTGGTAAGTCTCTATTTACATAATGACATTTTTTTCCCCTCATTGATCTGCAATCTTGCATAACTTTATGATACAGAATGCTAACCGGTGACGCGGAACATACCCCTCTCCCACTCTATGAAAGGAGGTCTAAGCCCACCATGGATCTTCACCAGTTCGGAAATCCGTTTCAACCCATGGAACAAACACTACCTTCCCTTCATCAATATCAGCATGAACCAGGGCCAAGGACTGTTTTTCAAACAGAATGCAGAAAATATTAGTGGTATGGGAGGCAAGTTGTAGTCAGCATTCTTTACTCACGCACAATCTATATAATAAAATATAATACAATCTCAAAAGATAAATAAAATAATTTTTATTTTTTGTAATTGAGATGTTTTTAAATTTTATTTTAAAGTTAATCTAACGGCTAATATTAATACCTCAAATTTAATAAATAAATAAAAAAAAACAAGACTCTAAGAGGCTAGAGATGACTTTTTAAAAGTGCTTCTAGAACTTGTAACCTCTCATAAATACTTTAAAAAAA